GCAGGCTTCCGCCAGTACGAGGTCTCCAGCTTCGCGCGCCACGTGAGTCCGGAATCAGGAAGCCGAGGGGTGACCCGGCGTTGGCCCCTTTCCCCCAGGGGAGTCCCCGCTGGGCACTGTCCTGCCTCTGCGCTCACGGTCCTACCTTCCCCGCAGGGGGCGCTCAGCACCCACAACTGGACTTACTGGCAGGGCGGCCAGTACCTTGGCGTGGGGCCTGGTGAGTCCTCTGTGAGTGACAAGAGGGATGACTCAGGAGAGGACTGTCACGGCGTGAACTCGGGCCACTTACTTAGCTCTCCAAGCCTGCATTTCCTCATACCTAAAGTGCAGCAAAAGAATTCCCGCCCGATGGACCTCTCCAGTGTGCATGTGTGGTGCTTGCAATCCTGCGGTGCTCTGGGGTTCTGAGTGTTTGGGGTGCATCAGAATCCCCCGAAGGGCTCCTTAGGACCCGGAATGGGGCAACGGTGCCCACAGAATTGCTGCTGGGTCAGGGCTGAAGTAGGCCGGGAGAATTCACATTTCCAGCCAGATAAATGCTGCTGGTGGGGAACCATACTTAGAGAAAGAACCCGTGAGTCTAAGTCTGTAAGCTCATAGTGTTAACTTTTGCTGTGTGATTGTCAGGTGCTCACGGGCGATTTATGCCCCAGGGGGTTGGGGGCCACACCCGGGAGGCTCGGATCCAGACGCTGGAGCCCGACAACTGGATGAAGGAGGTGAAGCTGTTCGGTCACGGCACCCGGAAGCGCATCCCCCTGGGCGAGTTGGAGCTGTGAGCATCCGGGGTCTCATGCCCCGGAAGCACTTCCCCTCATCCCTCTTTGTTTCCAGTCCGCATCCTTCCACCTCCGGCCCCGTACTGTACTGCAGGGTCCCCGTCAACACGTCACAGAGTCTGGTTTGAAAAGTGGGAGAGGCAGAGTCTTCTGTCCGATATGGTTGCTGATTTTTCTTTCAGACTGGAGGAGGTTTTGGCCATGGGACTCCGCACTGATGTGGGGATCACGCACCAGGTAAGAACCTAACCTTTGCTCCTCCTGAGCCTTTCGGGACAGTCACTCTCTTTCCTCACTTCACATGCACGTGCACATGCTATTCCTAGAAGTCCGGCCTTGGTCCAGTTGCCTGCTGTGCAGAAGCCTTGGGTGGTATGGGGCAATGGTGAGAAACCTAGACTAGGGCTGCAGGG